CCTTCTGTAAAATGCATTTTTTGTGAACAAACATTTAAGCTATATTTAAGCTATATACTGACCCTTTGTTTTGAGAATACTTTCTTTTTTGTGATTCAACTGACTTTTCTTCATGAGAACAAATTCATTTACATTCTAACAATAATTCAGAAAAGAATACAGATATATGAAAATTAAATTATTACTAAAATGTAATTTATCTTACAAATTATATTGCTAATATCATCATGTAATTCTAAAACTCAACCAATTATTTTATTAGTATTGAGATTTATCATCATGTTTAATGTATCTAAAAAAGATAGACAATTCCTCTAGAAGATGTCAATTTTAATTGAATTTATCTCTTTCTAATGAATAAAATGGAGAAGAACAAAACCCATTCAGACTTATCCTAGCACCTTCTGGATAGGTAAGTAGTAACAAATCATATTGCAAAGAAGTTATGCCCATTCAGACGTATTTTAAAGATATCTGATAGATATATCTATCAGCTATCAGACGTATTCTAGTACCTTCTGGACTCTTCATGATAAAAGTTTTATATTTTAAATTCCTTTAAAGCTTTTTCTGCTAACTTTTGAGCTATTTCACTATCACAGAGTTCTAATAGTTTTAGGTCATTCTTAATTGCTTTCAAATATGTCTTATAACTGTATCTTTATTTCTAAAATCAGTAACGTAGAACATACTCTAATTCTAAGTCCCACGAAGCATTATTTTTAAAGTAGTAGAGTCTTGATATATTAGTCATTTTAATACCTATACTTGACTGAGATACAATATTAAAAATCAGATATAGATGATCGCAAGATATAATTTAAGGATTAGATCATATTCGTGTACAAAAATTTCAATTTGTATAACAGACAGTATGTGTTGCAATGAAGTAACACATATTTTCCAATAATTTTACAGATGATAGATAAATGAAATAATATATTATGCTATCAAAGAGGGAGGGAGTACACAGATCTTAGGCCATTTAATGCGAATCTCAGCATATTTTTTAAAATTAAGCCAAGAAATCAAATTTACTTTATTATTACTTTGCAAAAAATATGAGTTTGATTGATTAGAGATATTGTTAATATAAATAATGGTAAGTTAGATTGGTTTGATTAGTTTTGTTTGATTTTTATTCACTTACATGAGGTAGATAAAAGGATTCACTAGCTAGGACATCACCTATTTATATAATTTATAGGATCAATTTTGAAATACATTTTGAGAAATTACGTTAATATATCCATATCATAAAAATCTGATCAATGGTATCCCTTTAATTTAACAATAAAGAATTTAATGCTATCCATATATAAAGATCATTAAGAGGCTATATATAATTTTGAGAATAAATTATTACTTATTTTCATGATACATGTATTATATTACTGCATATTTATTTATCAAAGTTCAATAAAACTTGGTCGAAAAAATAATAGCATACTTTGTTTCACACAATCCTATAACTTACTTTATGTGAAAAATCTATAAAATATCTAGTAAATTTGCATCATTACTTTATTGATCAGAATATTTAAATCGCTTATATATTCCTTTTGTAACCTTTTTACACCTTTTGCAATATAATGTGAGTGATGATTGCATTCTTCACAAACCTTACAACTATGCTTCTATCCTCTAAATATATGCTATATTTAAAGTAGTTCTATCCCTTTTTTGATCTGCCAATCTGCAGGAGATGATTTGTTCTAATAACTTTTCCTGATAGCATATTCTGTTTATTTTTCTTTTTTTCAAATATATATGAGAAAAAAAATAATAATGTCAAAAAATTTTTCATGTAAGCTGAAATTGCATTATCAAAGATAACATGCTATGTTATATGATAATCATGAAGACTCTTCTCACTTCTAACCAATAGAAGTAGGTATATTACTATGCATAGCATATTTTGCGTGATTTGAAAAAAATAATTATCAAAAGAATTTCCTTTAGGCTTTATGTTCTTGATATTGTATTGCGCATTTTTGGTAATGATAAAGTTCTCTATACTACTATTGCAAACTTAGATTTATTGCTTGAAGTATTGCAAGTAAGATAATATTCTAATTTATCTTAAGATAACAACTTCACTAATTTAGGATCATAAAGGAGCTGATTTCCATTTTTGCAATATCATGAGCTATGTAATCTATAATTCCTATATTTTTCATTGCAAATAGGGCATAATAAGTTTCACAGCTAAGGTGGTGCAAAATTATAATTATCAATTTCTCTAAAACTATTTTAGAATTTTAAGTATAGGAAATGCTTTAAGATGGATTTGATAATTAATTTTAGTTCAGGTCTAACTTCAAAAGTGATAGACCCTTTTTCTTTATATGATCTAGAAAAAAATAAGTATGATACTTTATTTCTTAGCATCAAAATTATGACTTCTGATGTATGTATTTCTGATAGTTATTATAGCTTATATTCAGTTTCTTTTTTATATTTTTTATATAAGTTAGACTGAATCTTATTTGTCAAAACACTTGGTAATTTACTTAATTTAGCATGTCAATCCAGATATTCAGGAATTAATACTTTATCAGACTTGGTCATATTGACTTTTTTCTATGATTGCGAATTAATTTAAATCATTTTTTCTCATGTTTATTCAAAAAAAGATTAAAGTTCTTAAATAGTAAGCTTATTAATATTTCCCATTACATTTCTAAAAAATAGTTAAATTATCTTTCACAGAAATTAAGCTTCAAAGAAGGATAATAAGACTATACAATTATCTCAATTTCATGCTATTCACATTTAATAAAATAAGAGTTAGCTTTACATCTATCTTCTAAACTTTTTTCATCATGCTCTAATTTGCATAATGAATATATTTTCTCAGTGGTAATTCCAAAATAATCAAAATCTTTACTATTAAATTCTCTATATAGATTAGAATATTAATCTAATATCTTTTTGCAAAAATAGGATCAGTCATAAGTTAGGTTAGATTGAGATACAGATAATACATTTGCTAATGTACTTATTTTAACTTTAATTTAATCATTTTCTGAGAGAATAATTTTTAAAGTCACATGATTCTGATGATCACTAATATATTTTTTTACTTGATTTATGACATTTTAGATTTGTGCATTAATTGGTTTCAAATCTTAGTTGTACTATATAAAACCAGTTTAATTTTATCTATTTCAATCCTATTTTTTCCAAATAACATGAAATGTTTTTTAACCCTATGAGTTTTCTTACACAAGTTAATTATATGATTTTAGTAAGAAGAAATAGTTTCATTTTCTTATAAATCATTGATCTTGCTATTTTATTCTTTATTCTATTATCAGTCATAAAAGCATCAACTTTGCTCTCAAATTCAAAAAAATAATTGTATCAGTCTAATATTTTCTGCTGGTTGAATTTTATTGTTGTTTCAAATAAATAAAATAAATGTTAAGCAGAATCTGCTTCATAGATTCAGCTTTTAGAAGAGATAATTCAACTGAAATCACATGATTCTGATCATTTCCTGAAAAAACAGTTTTTGTATTGCATGATGAATTAGAAATAACTGAGTTTTGAGTAATTGATTCATGTTGAAGTTTCTTTTACTTTCTCTCTCTAATCTCATTACTAATCTTTTCTTATGCATCTTATCTAAGAAAGCATTCATTTCCTTGTCTTCTTCTAATGATTTAGATTCAGTAGTATCATATCAGTCTGTAACGGAAGGTATGTTAATTTGATCTAAAGGTATTGAATTGAAATCCTGGAATATAAAGAGTCACTTTGGAACTAGATCAGCATTATTCTTTTCAATAAAATGATTAGAATGATCTGATTGCTTTGAGATCCCCTCAATAGATGATGAAATTGATGATTGTGAAGTTATTGAATGAATTGAAGACTTTGGTATGAATGTATTATTTTGTGCTGAAATATTAACAGCATTTTGTTGCTGTTGTTTTCCCTGATATCATCATCTAATTTAGCAATAAGGATGGTCTTTTCTTTATCTCTCTGTTCTAAGTTTATAAATCTAGCTTTATGTTCTTCCAAAGCATGCTTTAACTTCACATTCTCAGCCTTAACTTTGGCATTCTCCTTTCAAAGTTCTGTAATTTTGGCTAAGAGCTTCGAATTTATTTCTCTCAACGAATTGATCTCAGATTGCATGTTTGATAATATTTTTTTTATACAAGATGAAATAATTCAAAAGTTTGAGTTAGATATATAAATAATAAAAAATCACGCGTGACGATTTGTCATACCGATCACTTTTGCCAAGAATGCGAAAATAAATAAAATACATGATAAAATTAAGATAATTAAAATTTTATACCTTTATAACAATCACACCTCTATATAATCACCAATTTTTAGGGAACCGAATGGGTGACTATATAGAGGTCCGACTGTATTTGTTAACTAATTAAATCACTTCACTATCTTAAAATTTCTTAATTAAAATTATTTTTTATAATTTTTATAATATTATATTATAATTAATATTATTAAAGTAAATTTAATAAGATTGTCAAAGAATATTTTAAAAATTACAAATTTTAGCTTATAAATAACTTTAAATTTTTATTACATATACTTAAAAAATAACAATTATTATAATATAATATATATTTAAAAAACTAACTTTAAAAAAATTTTTTAAAAAAAACTTTTAATTTTATAAAGTTTACTTTAACAGTATATAGAACGAAGGTATGCTTTTAGAAATTTTTTTTTATCGCAACCCTTGCGAATTCATCCCTGCCATTTAAAGTTAGATTTTATATGAATTTAATATGTGACGATCATTTTGATCAGGCTATGCTGTTTGAAGTAATATTTTTCTCGTAACTTATTATATATATATATATATTATTATTATTGAATGAGCCAATCTATTGTATTTATTGTATTATATAAATATTTCTTTATATAGATTATATAAAAAAGTCGTGTAAAAAATTTTAATCGTATTTCAGATAAATCATCATAAAAGTACAAAATAGCTGAATTCAATTAAATTATTCATTATCCCGACGTTGCCTAGAAGCTAGATATCTCCGCCTAAAGACAGCGATAAAATCATTGGAGATTCGTCGTAGTCTACTCCAATCTTGTCCTCGTATTGCTCTGGAAGAAAGGCGTCGCATAAGTTTCTTAATTAGGATTTAAAAATACGATTAGCTATTTAAACATTGACTTACGAATTGTAATCCCTTATAAAACCATTCTTTGCTTCCGATGTTAAATTCGAATCTTGTATGTTTTGAATGATCTCTGATATCCGTTGTTGACATTCCAATGGATATATTTTAGACAAAAACATCAATATTTCATGAATTTCAATATGTTGAATATCTCTCGGAAATGTATACATGAGTCCTTTGAATATATTTTCAAGGAATGATGTAACATATTGTTTCCATAACGAATCATGGATCGATAAAGCTGCATTCAAAGTAGCTTCTGTAGCTGACGTAGATGTAATAGGAACAGTTGGTGTACCAGGTGAATGTTTCTGTTTTTGTTTCTGTTTTGGATTCGCTCTAAAATTAAGCAACTTATGAAAAAATACAATGATAGAAAATAATGCATCATGTTGTTGAATTGTTAGGCATGTAAGTCCAGCTTGAAAAACTGATAGAAAAACGGCCGATTGTGAAAAGGTGATAGGTGTGCTCTCGAATAACGCAATGTTAAGACGGAAATAATCTTCAATTACTGTAAAACAAAAAGTAATTTAAAATAGATTTAAAATAGATAAATGTAAAATGAAGTTATTGAAATTAAAATACCATCCGGAATTTCGGCAGATTTTTTTCCATTTAAAAGACTAAACATCGTTACGCTTAATCTTTCGACAAACGATATCATTGCCATCGTCATTTCGGTCCCTTCATCATCTGAATATTCCTGAACACACTTAGTTGCAACCCATAAATAGCAACTCAAATGTGTTTGACCAAATACTGTAACCAAACGCTCCATCAGGTCAGGAAGCAGTGGCCTAAAAGAAATTCGATAAAACACGACACAATATTTAAAGCATTTACAAAGAATCTCTGATAGATGAGAATCAGAACCAAACTGTACTAAAAGTAAATCAAACACAGGCCATAAATCTTTTATAATGGTAATACAAGGATGAACTAGACCAGAATTTACATCTATCGTGTTGGTCTCTTTTCTGGAATCAGCAATGACTCTTATAATTATTGAAAACTGTTCAAGTTTATCTGTAATTAATGATTCGGAATATATTAAAAATATAATTTTTGATAGATCATGAATAAGGTTAATTAAAACCACTTGATAATTGCTCACCACAAGCATCCCTAATTTCCTTGTCGGTAGCAGCAGAACCTTTATTGGCAAATTCATGCAAGTACCGTGCGATTGGAAGACAAAACATTTGTAATGCTTCCAATAATTCCGCTGGACGAACAGCTGCAACGACATGGGAAACTGCCTCTGTTACTTCAAATAAATCTATTCCATGAAGCGTATTTGTAACATTGAAATAGAAATGATGAAGTTGTGGAAGATATTCAATCAGCAACTAAAATATGTGTATTTTTTATTATGAAAAAGGGTTAAAATATATTCACTAGAAAAATCACGACATAATAATATTCAAAAATACCTCACTACAGTCTTTGCATAGGTATTTCAATGCCAATGCAGCAGCAGCAGACACTTCTTCATTATCAAATCCGGAGGAAATAAAATTCAATTGATATGGAATGAATTGTGGATGATGCCTTGTCCAATAAGAATATCTAGATATCACTAAAGTAGCCGCATAACGAATTTTTGGATGATCTGGCAACTGTTGCAAAAGTTGCATAATTTGTGGTAAATAAACATCTTCTTCATCCTCCACTTCTGACCCCATAGCTCGCAAAGAGAACAGTGGCGCTTCAATTTCTTGCCAATCTACAGTCCCGTTTACCGAATTTGCAAGTTGTCTTGCTAGAGTAGTAAATGGTTTTGATAGGCACTCCGCAGATCCAGAAATGAGACAGCTATCTTTAAGAACATCACCCATTACATGCCGAAATTCACGAAATTCATCGCGTTTCTCGGCCGACCAAGTTGTAAGATCTTTGGGATAATGTAAATGTTTGATCATGATATCAACCAAATTTGAATATATATCCTTAAATTTATCTTTAATGTTCGCATGGCGTGGTTGATACAATGTGTCAGCTAAACGATGCCAGAAATAAAAGGTTATCCTAACTATTTCTGTATCGTGATAGGCAGTACATTCAACTATGCTTTCTACAATACTTCTGAAATCATCAGCATGTTGTACTATAAGATCTAAATATGATTCACCGGCATGCGTGAATATCCTACAATATCCTCGCACTCTGTCTTCATTATCTTCATCCATCGCTCTTTTTAACGCCTCCCTTAAAGGCAATAACCGCGGATATATTTGCTCAATTACTGGCATTGATTCAGGAATCTCCTGCGTTTCAAAAATTATTTCACATACAACATCCACCGCAATATCATACAAATCATCTGATTGTAAAGCATCAAATGAAAGACCTAAAAATGGATTATTCTTCAAAGAACTTATTGCAATATCGCCAGACTGTAACCAACTATGAAAACATTCAAACACCTTTTTTTGATAATCAGTATTTGTACCTAAATTAATCATGAATTAGATATATATTACTATAACGTGAATAAATAATGAGAGCGTCTCAATATAATTACCCGAATTTTGTAAATAAACCAAAAGGATTTGTAATACTTCGTTTGAATTATCGGTCAACAATTGCTTGGATCGCACGCGATAATCTTCATCCTATGAAAAAATATTTAACAATATTTATCAAGTTTATAAATAATTTTTTTAAATAATATAATTTTAACTTACCAATATAGGTATCCGATTATTTGTGTTGATCTCTTCTGGTAATACTTTAAGAAACTCGAGCAAACAATTTACAGTTTCTTGGTTCTTACCATATAATTCTGTAAACTGATGTAAAACATTTTGCCATTCAGGCATTTGAAGAGCTAGACACGCCAAGGAAAGACATAATTGTGTGACAATCAATCGAGGACCGGAACGGTATTGGTAGAGTAGTTCTAAAAGAGAATCGCGAAGGGTAATGCGAGCTGTTGCGTCAAGCTGATTTAGGTCAAGTGTTACCTATGTTAAACGATCGGTATGCAAAAATGATAAAATTAAGGAAAAAGAATTAGCAATAAAAATTTAAGGTAACGCGTCAAAGTTTTTTTTTTTGGAATACAAAAAAAAAAAAAATAATAATAAATGCATAAATAATAATTAACATACCTTTTGCCGAAAAGTACCTGCCGCAAAATGACGCGCTGCTTCCGATTCAGGTGTTAGTTGGGGAGATCTTAATACTTGATTTGATATTGCCCAAGCTTCCGACTGCAGTAGACGACATTATAAAAGAAAAAGTGGGAATCTTTATAATGCTTGTGAAGAAATCTAACAATATTCGTTGTCATAAATTTAGAACAGTAATCGCCAATAATTTACCGTCTTCTGAAAAGCTTGTAGCCAAGAGTCAGCCTGCTCCCTTCTTGCTTTATCTCGAGAATTATATAAAGTATCCACTTCGGCAAAAAACTTCTCAGTCGTATTAGTCATGTTAAAATTTACTTGGTTATAAACAGAGATCGTAAAGATAGTATGTACTTTGAACACGCGAATAAATGTTGACCTATTTTATTAAATCTGTTCTCTCGACCTAAATTTTCTCGCCAGGTTTATATCTATGATATGGTATCATACCAAAAAATTTTCAAAAAAAAAAAGTTGGTACATCATCACAAGATTACAAAAACTGCACTACGAATAACGTAACCGAATTATCACTGATAAGGACACAAGAAGATGGTATGTCGTCATCTTTTACTTTTAATGTGACAAATATAGAATCAATTGATCGTCACGTATTAAATATTATATGTGCCGAAAATAAAATTATTATTAAGTTATAAAGAAGGTGGAAATAAAACTTCTTTGAAATTAGCCCAAAATCCTTGATCGTAAAGATTGCATATCTCAGATATGGATTTAACCTGTCTTCCGACTTGCTTACTATTCTCTCCATTGACTCCAGCTTCATTCTCACCTTCTGATGACTTATTCTGTCTCCGTCTAACAGGTTGAACCCAATAAACCGCTGTGGATTTGCCTTTTAATTTTGAATCATTTTTATCCTTAATTTTCTTTTTATGCTTTTTTAATTCTTCTTTATCAAAAACCCAAAGTTCTCCGTCCATTATTATTTCTTCTAAATCTTCCCTTTTAAACGCTTCATTTGCTGTTGTACCATTATATACCAAATGAAGCTGATAGCACATGAATATAAAGATGACCAATCCAACAAGAAGGGTAAAAATACCTAATGCACCTAGAACCCTCTCTTGGTGAATCAAAAACTATAAAATAATGATATAACATTTTTTGAATAAAGTTATAATCACCTTGGAGAAAACAGATGAAAGATTAATTAACGTACTAATACAGCCTGGTATGTTGAAATTCTAACCCTCTTTCTAGTCTCTACAGAAGTAATCCAAGCTTCAGTTAAATTCATGTTCTTGGATATTCCCCAAAAAATATAATAAATCAAATATGCTCCATACACACAAATTTGAATAGTAGCATATAGAAAAAGAAGGAAATAACGATGGTTTTTTAAACCAACACAATTATTAATCCATGAACCTAAATATAAAGTAAGATCGTTAGAAAACATTTAAATGTAGATAATCAATATAACTAATGTAATTGATATTTAAATTTTTAACAACTCACAGTGATGATCGCATTTTGCAACACACTTTTTACATAGAGAACAATGTTTTGAACGAGCAGGTCTGTAAATAAAAAAATTTCAAAATGATTAGTTAAAAGTTATAAATCTATATATAAAGCTAAAGTAATTATGAAAACTTACTTTGTAAATTTACATGTTCTACATTCTTTTGGTTCAAATGTCAAGAAATCATAATTGAACATTTTGCAAGCTTTATCAACATTCTCACTTGTAATTCGGCCTGGATCACTCGAACATGCAATAAAAAATGAAGCATATGTAAAAATTATAACTATTGGAACGAAATATCTGTCGAAGGGAAAAAAATTTGATAATTAAATATTAGATATTATTGGAATTTGTTAATAAAAAATGATGATGAATTGTTCATGACACGTACACTACTTACACATGCGCTTTAGAAAGATAAGGTCCAGGAATATGGGGCCACGCAGTTACATAAAATAAGAAATTTGACACTGTTAGAAGTATTAAATATACTATCTAAACAATGAAAGATTTCAATTGTTAGATATATCATCAAATCGAATAAATTTTTACCGATAAATAAACAAATATTATATTCTTACCACTAATACTGGATTTTTTTCTTCTACAAAATAAACATAAAGACGATCACTGATCGCTGAAGAACGGTTTCCACAAACTTGTCGAAATGAGAACCTAAAAAATTCAAAACATGTATTAGAAATGAATATAGTCAAAAATAATTAAAATTTAACTAACCCTATCCATTCAATCAATGTCTCCGTCAAAAAGTGATGCAATTTTCCAATTGGACCATTTCTTAAAAAACGTAAACTTAGCATTTTATTTTATTTTTTAATATGATTTCAGAAAAAAAAAATATATATATATATATATATATATACCTGAAACGGGAAGAAGGACCCATTATTAAGACAAAAATTATGAAACTAAGAATCACTAAATAAATCGCAGTTCCTATGAAAAGATCCTATATTTAAAAATAACAATGGTTAAAGTGTACTCGTCAAAACAGCAAATATTGTATACTCTTGGTGGACTTACCATATTTCCTGTATTTTGAATTATATGAAGAATGAATGTTTTTTATAATTTACAGTTTCTGTAACACGGTTTAATTAATATACGCCGATCAATTGAACAAACGCGTTTTTCACAACTAAAAAAAATATTTTCAAATGGTTATCGTTGTACCAAATTCTTCAACAATAAACGTTATTTTTACGCATCTTCTTTCCGCATCTTTTGCGGCAAAATTGGTGACAGCTTTCGTTAAACATGTACTATTTATGAGAGGTCAAATTCCATGGTTTGCAGAAATGCCTTTGAATTTTTTTTATATTGAATGATTGTCAATGGAAATCTAACAAAATTATTTTAAGTACTTTCTCTCAGATTGAAAATTTATTGCAAATAACTCATGTACAGGATATGCTAATTTTCTTTTGTTATACACTTTTTTCTTTTTTTTTTTATCATGTTTTAACTGTAATTTCCATTTTATTTTGTAACAGCAATCTAAACAAAAACAAAATCAATATAATAAGAAAGTCAAAGAAGTCAGTATCATAAGGAATCAGAAATCATTGGGACGTAAATAATTATTAATATCCGAAGCTAAATTAATTGTACACTAATTTTTTAAAGTTGATATCAAATTCCCAAGTTCTATTTGAAACCATTACGACTACTTTTCAACACATTGTTGCTTATCATGGTTGTTTGGAATCTATCAGTCTAACGATTGTGTTGGGAAATTTGGCAACTAGCCCCAAAGAAATTTACATAATGGAATTTTTGAACGTGTGCGCCGATCATATGTTACAATTGGATGAAAATAATTTGATGGAACAATTTCAACGTGAAGAAGCAAGCGAGAGAAAATTGCTAAGATCTTTAATGGGAAAACTTAATGACCAACCTTTAGGTTAGGTGAGAGTTTACATATAAAACAAAAATATTTTTTTGTTTCAATTGTTTCATAACATCCAATTCTATAGTTATGACACGGTTACATATACTTATACGAACTTCACGTTGTAATCCACCGCCTAATTTGATTCCGAAACAATTGTTTAAACTTAACACACATAAAGTTTCAACTTTGACCATTTCAAGTAAAGGTTTGTTCTCGAAACAAAATGTAAATAATGCAAAATTTATTATGGACGTGGGAAAACATTCGACCAAAATTTTAGCACAGGATGTTGGTGAGAATGATCTGATTATGATTGGATCCAGTAATGTTGAAAAAAACGAGGTTAATGGGAATGACGTAAAAGATTGTAAAGATGATTTAATTTGGTATTGTTTCAAAAACGCATTGATTGGATTTGCTGCATTATGGTAAGAAAAATTACTACAATTTTGGAAATATTTTGTTAAACATAAACTATTTATTTTATAATTTCTAATTCTTTTTCACCCAATAATTAAAATAAAATAATTAAAAATCCTTTACAATAAAAAAGAGCTATTGTTATAGGATAGAAGTTTAATAATTAAAAGTTGAAATATTCTACATTGTATGAACGTATCAAGTTAATAAAGAGATTCTGTAGATTGTCTATGAGGAAGCATACTTTAATAATAAAAAACAATAGTTATTAGTATGTATAAAGAAATAAAATATTAACATTTAGAAAATATATACACGAACTTTTTTCACGTATTCTTTGGCTGTCTTGGTAAACTTTGCTCTGTTCGTATTATAAACTTCAGCAACAGACGCGACCAAAGCATCATCGGGATTTGGATTCTCAAGGAGCTCAGCAATAGCCTCAAGAACTGCAATATTAAAGAAATTATTCAAAAAAAAAAAAAAAAAACTTGGAATTCGGGAACGTTTATAAATGTTATACTGACCATGAGAAATCTTTGTTGCTGGTTTCCATACGTCAGTTTTCAGCAAGTTCACACAAATTGAGCCATCATCATCAATATTAGGATGATAAATTCTAGTGATAAATTTAACCTAAAAGCAAAAAAATAAAATAAATAAATAAATAAACCATTTAATAAAATGAGATGCTAAAATGAAAACCAGGTTAATTTGATACATACTGACGGTGGTTTAAATGGATAATCTTGAGAGAATTCAATTTTAAGTCGAAAAATACCACCTTTGTAAGAACTATTATTCTATTTATGTTGAATTGAACAAATCATTAAAATTTTCAATATTTCATTATATTTTCCATTATACTTACAGGTCCCATTATTGTGCCTAATAAAATTAAAAATTAATAAATGGGAAAGAAGACTGATGTTGAAAAGTACTAATTCTATTGATCTATTTTACCTGTCCAGTTAAACAAATCTTCTTCAGTAGTAGGTCCAGCGCTAATCCCAACTGGTGGGTTTCTGTTGATGTCATTAAGTTCCTATTTTATATGGTAAAAATAAAATTTTATTTAGGTTTTCTCTATACATCAGAAGAAATTCTTTCAATCTTACCTTCTGAATGCGTTTAAGAGCCATTTTTGATACAAAGTTCACTTGAAGACGATTTAGATAAAATTCATGATCATCGAATTGCATGAATAAATGACAGATCATTCGTGTAACTTCATACCTCGACCCGATCAGCTTACACGGATTTTATAATAATATGACTAAAGAGGAGGAGTGACTATATGTCTACTGTATATGCAAAATAAATTAAACAGACCAGCTTTTTGATGAGTTTTTTTTTTTTGAAATAAAATATTCAGATATCTTTATATATATGAATTATAGTATAAAGCAATATTCTTTATTATAAAATAATATTTATACTTATTTTTAAAATTAATTTATAATTTATTAATGCCGTTTCAAAGAATGAAATTAAAATAAATCAAAATTATTTTTATTATAACTTCAATAATATTATATATTGATTTATAATATTAATTAAATAATGCAAAAAACAAGTATTAGTAAAATTAGATAAAAATCATAAGTAAGATTCAGAAGGTTAAATTAAATACAGTTAACTCTTGATATAGCAAATTCTTGATATAACGAATTTTTTGATAATAAAAATACTCTTGTTATATCGAATTGGCCAATCAAATCTCTTAAAATCTTCACTATAGCCTTATAGCAAAGTTGAGTTCTAGAACGTAGGGTTCATTATAACAATAGTTGACTGTAATTATAAATAATTCTATAATTTTTGATTTAGTATAGTATCAGAAATGAGTGATAATTCTTTATTATTTTTTTTAATTTTTTAAATACTTTACATTTATAACAT